AAAAATCAGCCGGGCGTGGTAGCCCACGCCTGTAATTCCGGCTACTCGGAAGGCGGAGGCGGAAGGATCGCCGGAGGCCAGCACTCCAGTCTGGGCGCCAGAGTGAGACTCCGACTCAAAAAAAAAAACCTGCCCATCTCTTCCTGCGGGTCTGACACAGCCCACTTCCTCTGCGGCCGGGCCCATCCCAGCCATCCCAGTGTGACGTTGGCCCTGGCCCAGCCGTCCTGGGCCAGGGAGCCCCAGATGCTGCGTGGCTGCCCCAGACCGGCCAAGCCTCGCCACGGCCCGACACTGTGGCGGGCACAGCTGGCCTCTACATGCTACCTCTGCACATGCAAGGGAAACAGCGGCGGCACACGTCCACCCGCATGTGCCCCGCTCTGCTCCCCTGGCCCTACCGACATCAAGGGTGTGTGCCGCACACAGTGTGTGGCCACCAATGGATGGGGCGCCCAGAGACAGGACACATGCAGCCAGTCTCCTCTGGGAGGCTGCGAGGCGTGCACACACCCGCCGTGTCTAACGGAGTCCAGCCTCTATTCCAGTGGGATCTTTCTACGACCGCTGTAAAATACCGCGACTGCAAGTCTGTCCCAACTTCTGGCCCCAGGCCTCATCTTTGCTTAGGAAAAAATGGGTTTTGGCTGGGTGCTGGGGCTCATGCCTGTAATCTCAGCACTTTGGGAGGCTGAGGCAGGAAGACTGCTTGAGCCCCGGAAGTCAAGACCAGCCTGGGCAATACAGTGAGACCTCATCTCTACAAAAACTCAAAAAATGAGCTGGTGTGGTGGTGCTAACCTGGAGTCCCAGCTACTTGGGAGGCTGAAGTGGGAGGATCGCCTGAGGCCAGGAGTTCCAGGCTGAAGTGAGCCACGATCGCGCCACTACACTCCCGCTTGGGTGGCAGCGAGACAGTCTCTCTCGAACAAACAACAGAGAAACTAACCTTGAGCAGAACGTTAGCTCTGTGCTTCACACATACTCCTCACTGGGAAGTTTTTACAAAAGACGTTTTTTTTTTGAGTCAGGGTCTCACTCTGCCGCCCAGGCTGGAGGGCAGCGGCACACTCCCGGCCACCGCAGCCTTGACCTGCTGGGCTCTGGCGATCCTTCTGCCTCAGCCTTCCAAGCAGCTGGAACCACAGGTGTGCGCCACCACGCCTGGCTAATGTTTTCTATTTTTTGGTGAGACAAGGTCTCGCCAAGTGGCCCAGGCTGGTCTCCCACCCCTGAGCTCAGGCAAGCCTAGGCCATGAGTCCCAGCTACTTGGGAGGCTGGCGATCACTTGAGCCCAGGAGGTCGAGGCTGCAGGGAGTTATGATCGCACCACTGCACTCCAGCCTGGGCTGCTCTGTTGGGAGAGAGGGAGGGAAAATGGAGGAAAGAAAAGAGATAAGCCAGTCACAAAAGGACAAACGGGACAGGACTCCTCTTACGGAAGGTCCCTGGAGTAGTTAAATTCAGAGACAGAGGCCGGGTGCAGTGGCTCATGCTTGAAAAGCCAGCACTGTGGGAGGCCCAGTTAGGAGGATGGCTTGCGCCTGAATTCAAGACCATCCTGGGCAACGCAGTGAGACCTCGTCTCTACAAAAAGCCAAAAAATAAGCTGGACATGGTAGCGTGCCCTGTAGTCCCAGCTACTAGGTAGGCTGAGGCAGGAGGATCGCCTGAGCCCGGGAAGTCAAGGCTGCCGTGAGCCGTGGTCTGGCCACTGCACTCCAGCCTAGGTGATGGAGGGAGACATCGATGCACAAAGAAAAAAAAAGAATTCAGAGAGACAGTAGAATGGGGGTACTAATAGCTGGGGAGGGGGTGGGAGTCAGCACAGAGCTGTAGTTTACAATGGTAACATGGGAAGTTTTGTTATGTACTATTTTATTTTATTTTATATTTTATTTTAACTTCAGATGTGGGGTACAATTCAGGGTTAGGTGCTTTTTTATTTTTGAATGGGAGTCTCGCTGTATTGGCCAGGCTGGAGGGTAGTGGCCCGCTCGCGGGCACCGCAGCCTCGACGTGCAGGGCTCAGGCCATCCTTCCACCTCGGCCTCCTGAGTAGCTGGGATTACAGGTGTGTGTCACCGCACCTAGCTAATTTTTTTATTTATTGTAGAAATGAGGTCTCATCAAGTTGCGCAGGCTGGTCTTGAACCCGTGGGCTCAATCTTCTCGCCCCGGCCCCCCACAGGACTGGGGTGACAGGCGTGAGCCACCTATCACCATACAAAAGGGCTCATCCCAAAGCTGGCCGAACAGGCTTCAAACCTGTCCTTCGGGCAGAACGCTCCAGCTGCGCGACTCCCACGCCCTCTGGCTCGGTCCTCCTTCCCCCTCCTGAGTCAGAGTTTCTGGCCCCGCTGAGTGACGGCTGCCGGCCGCGCTCCTGTTCCGAGGCCTCTGGCTGCCTTTCACCTTGGGGTCAGGATGCGGCCTCTGCTCCCGACCCGCCTGGCAGCCCAGCCCGGAGCTGCCCCTGGGGACGTTCCCGCTGGCCCAGCCCTGTGGGAACGCAGCCCCTCAGCCTCCCAAGATGCTGGGATGACAGGCGTGAGCCACCAAGTCTGGCCTCCAACCTCGCAGCCCTTTAAAGCAAATGAGCTTTTAAAAAATTATGTTGTGTATAAACCTGTGCTTCTCAAAAACAACTAAAATCGGAAGGGCAGACGTGTTTCCTGAAATTCAAATCATTCAGTGTAGGGCAACCACTTTTAGCACCTGGACCTCTGAGAGGCCAGCGATCCTGGGACTCCATGGCCGCCACAGAAGCTGGAGCAAGTGGCCAGAGGCCACGGCGCCATGGCCCCGGGCAGTCAGGACAGGCTGGCGCCAAAGGGACCCTGGCGCGTGGCCCCACAGCCACCCGCATCTGAGTCCACACGTGTTGGCACGGGCACGAGACCTCTCAGGTGACCTCACCGAGTCAGGCTGCGCGGGGCTGTCTCTGGCGTCCCGAAGAGGCCAGGAAGAAGCCTGGCCCTGCTGTGATGCCGGCCCTGTCCCCCAGGCGCGCAGCCCGTGTTTGCAGGGTGTGTCAGGGCACGGTCTCCTCCCCGCGAACCCTCGTTCTGATTTTTTTTTGGAGTTGGGGGTCTCTGTTACCCAGGCTGGAGTGCAAGCGGCACGATCACCTCGGCCTTCTGGGCTCAGGTCATCCTTCCACCTCAGCCTCCTGCGTGGCTGGGACACACAGGTGTGAGCCACCGCGCCCCGTCTGGTTTAAATTTTAAATGTTTTAGAGACAAGGTTTCGCCATATTGCCCTGGTTGGTCTCGAACCCCTGGCTCAGGCAATCCTCCCTCCTCGGCCTCCCAAAGTACTGGGATGACAGGCGTGAGCCACCGCGCCCAGCCTGATCTTCCCTTTGAGAAGAATAGAGCTTCAAATCAAAGCCAGCAGGGCCTGGTGAGCAACCCCGTCGGCCTCACCTGTCCGGATGGCGTCCTCTAGGCCGGGACTCCGCTCGCCCTGCAGCAGCTGGTGGTAGTAGCCAGGGTTCCGGTCCATCTGGGTCTGGGCCCCGCTCAGCGCCATCCACACGCGGGCGCGGTGCTCCAGTGGGACGCCCTTCCGCACGAAGCGCTTCACTGAAGGCAGAGCCGGTTGGGGAGCCGGTCGGGGACGCTGCCAGCGCCCGGCTTCCCCCTCCCGCCCACGCCAGCTGTCAGAAGGACCCGAACTCCAGCTCTCCTGCGCCCGAGGGGGCGGGCTCAGCCGTGGGCACCTGAGGGGCAAGCCCTGGGGCCTGCCGTTTCAGCTGCAGGCCTCACCGTCGTCCTGCAGCTGGTCTCTATATCGGGGGCGACTCCGTTTTGCAGGGCGTTTTACTGACGACAGATGTGCGAGCAAGTGATCAGCGACTTCCCAATGACCACGGGACACAGGGACAGAAGCCAGCGGCCACGGCCACGGCCACGGCCCTTCACCTGTGCTGGACGTTCCCAGGCGGAGAAAGAGACTTGAAAGAGGCTTGGAGATGCCGCTCACGTCAAGCTGTGTAGCCCGGGGTGCTGTGCTGTGCCCGTAAGGGCCGCAGCCCACAGCACAGCTCACTTTCACAGCAGACACCAAAAGCTTTGCTGCTCTATCACACCGTAAACACCCCAAACGGAAACTGCGCCTCAGGGAAAAAACAAAAGTGGATTTTCCACGAGCTGCCAGAGAAAGAAAGCCGTCTTAGGCGCCAGCCGAACGGAACCGATGCAGGGAGTAAGAAAAGCTTGACAGTCTACAGTCCAGAAAAGCTCCAGAGTAAAACCCGACGAGCCCAGATTCCAGGGTGACCCACAGCTACGATCACCGGGACACAGCAGCTCGACACACCTCGGGGGGCAGAGCCGGCCGTCCCGGGAGGGCACCTGGGAGGCAGCGTGCACTCACTAAGCGCGTGACGGATGGCACCGGGGCGCAGGCGGCGCGCCGAGGTGAGGCAGAGCCGCCCCTGGCGCCACCACTGAGGACCAAGGAGACGGCTCGGGAAGCCCACGCCGGTTGGAAGCTCGCCTGAGGGCTGTGTCGCCGGCGAGAGCATCTCTGGGCCCGGGTTGGCCCTGCGCTTATGGGAAACAAGAAAAGCAGAAGTCTTGCTTTATTTTAAGAATTCTGCCAGAGACACGACTCATCCAGCCCGTTTCCCTCCAAGTTTGACTGCTGCAGTGCGACTTGTCCTGCAATGTGGCCACAGGTCCCACGACCCCTTCAGAGGGCTGCACGGCCAGAAGAGCTCTGAACGCGTTTTGAGTCACTCTTCGCTGAAACGCGAGGGGTCACTCCCGACACCGGCAGGGACCGTCCTACTCAGGGACGCTCGCACAGCGGGAAGACGCGCACACATCAGCGGTCCCTCTGCAGACAAACAACTGGAAATCATACATGTAAGACGAGTACCACTTATGCTAGCCCAAAAGTAAGAGGAGAGATGCTTAGGCCTAAGTCTAACAAAATATCTGCAGGATCCAAATGCCTAATACTATGAAGGAAACCAAAGAAAGCCCCATGCAGTGGCTCACGCCTTTTATCCAAGCACTTTGAGTGGCCAAGGCAAGAAGATTGCCTGAACTCAGAGGTTCGAGACCAGCCTGGGCAACGTGGCGAGACCGTGTCTCTACAATAAACCAAACAATTAGCCAGGTGTGGTGGTGTTCCAGCTACTTGGAAGGCTGAGGCAGAAGGACTGACTGAGCCTACCAGGCTGAGGCTGCATTAGCTGTGATCATGCCACTGCACTCCAGCCTGAGCAACAGAGTGAGACCCTGACTCAAAAAAAAAAAAAAAAAGAAATCAGGAAGACTAAACAAATAGAGAGCTATATATCATGCTCATGCATTAGAGGACTCAACCTTAAGATATCAGTTCTTTGCTGGGCACAGTGGCTCAAGCCTGTAATCCCAGCACTTTGGGAGGCTGAGGCAAGAGGACTGCCTGAGCCCGTGGCTTTGAGACTAGCCTGAGCAACATGGTGAGACCTCGTCTCTACAGTAAATAAAATTAAAAAAAAATAGCCGGGCATGGTAGTTTGCGCCTATAGTTCCGGCTACTTGGAAGACTGTCGCCCAGGCTGGAGCGCAGTGGCATGCTCAGTCACCGCAGCCTCGACCTGCTGGGCTCAGGCGATCCTTCCGCCTCAGCCTTCCAGGTAGCTGCAACTAGAGGTGTGTGCCACCACGCTCGGCTAATTTCTTTGACTTACTGTAGAGACGAGGTCTTGCTACATTGCCCAGGATGGTCTCCGGTTCCTAGGCTCAGGCAATCCTCTCGCCTCTCCCTCCCAAAATGCTGGAATGACAGGCGTGAGTCACCATGCCCGGTTCCAAAACAATTTAAAAAGTGAAGTTGGAAGAGACATGCTATCTGATTTTCTGCTTCACTACAAACCTGCAGTGAGAAAAGACAATGTGTTGTAATCCCGCGCCTTTGGGAGGCCGAGGCAGGTGGTTTGCCTGAGCCCACGGGTTCGAGACCAGCCCGGGCAACCTGGCAAGACCTCGTCTCTGCAATAAATCAAAAACTTAGCTGGGTGTGGTAGTGCACGCCTGTAGTTCCAGCTACTTGGAGGGCTGAGGCGGAAGGATCGCTGGGGCCCAGCAGATTGAGGCTGCGGTGGCCGGGAGTGTGTCACTGCACTCCAGTCTGGGCGATAAAGTGAGACTCCATCTCAAAAAAATTTAAAAAAAAGCCAATGTGGTATTGGAGACAAAGGTATTAACGGGCCATGGAAGAAATCCAGAAACAGCCCCACGCCAAGAGAATCCATTGCTTTTCGACAAAGGTGCAGTGGAAATGTTAGTTCAGACCCAAGAATGGCCAGACAAGAAATCCAGCAACGCAAAGTGCTGGCAAGGGTGCGGAGCAACCACTCGCACACTCGTGCTGGGATGCCAAGTTGCAGGGCCTCTTCGGAAAGCTGGCTTGCCACTTCTTCCCAGATAAACATAGGCCAGGCTGGCATGTGGCTGACGCCTGTCACTCCCAGCACTTTAAGAGGCTGAGGCGGGAGGACTGCTGGAGCCTAGGAATCAGAGACCAGCCTGGGCAACGTAGCGAGACCTTGTCTCTACAAAAATCGAAACATAAACCGAGAGTGGCGGCCTGCTCCTGTAGTCCGAGCTACTTGGGAGGCGGCTGAGGCGGAAGGGTCGCCTGAGCCCGTGAGGTCAAGGCTGTGGTGAGCTGTGATCGTGCCCCTGGACTCCAGCCTGGGCGACAGAGGGAGGCCCCGGCTCAAAAAACAAACCACCAAAGGGAAAAGAATCACCACACTCGTGCCCTTCGAGGCAGCAGTTTCACACCAAGACTCAAGAGAAAGGAAATCTAATTCACACCAAGACCTGGAGGTGAACGTGCCGGAGGCGGGCTGTACACGTCCCTGGTGTCTTCGGCTGGTGAAGTCGGGGTACTCCAGGCCACGACACATTGCTCAGCAGCAGAAGAAAGGAGCGGCCGACACAGCCAGGCCCCACGGATCTCCAACGGGTCTGGGAAGAAGCCACGCCCAGAAGGCCACCACGTGCAGCGCTCTGTCCACACCACGGCCCGGGAGGGCTGAACTGCAGGCCTGGGGCGGGGCCGGTGGGGGGTGCGAGGTGGAAGAGCAGGAGGGCAGATTCTAAAGCGAGGGGCTTCCGGCCTCGCGTGGGCGGGACGCCTGCCGGTGTCTGTCCACCCTCAAGCAACCGTGCGCTGAAGAGAACGGACTTCACGGCAAGCTCTTTTCTTTTTTGAGTCAGGGTCTCACTCCGCCCTCCAGGTTGAGGCGCAGCAGCTCGCTCACGGTCACCGCAGCCTCGACCCGCTGGGCTCAGGCGAGCCCTCCGCCTCAGCCTTCCAAGAGGCTGGAAGTACAGGCGTGCACCACCACGCCTGGCTCACTTTTTATTGTGGAGATGCGGCCTCGCCACGTTGCCCAGGCTGGTCTGGAACCCCTGGGTTCAGGCAATCCTCCCATCTTGGCCTCCCAGAGTGCTGGGACGACAGGTGTGAGCCACCACGCTTGGCTTCACCGCAAATTCTCAGTCCTTTTACAATATAAAGGCTTTCTTTTCTAGAAGGGCAAAATGGGCCCCTGGGAGCGGGCCCCCGCGCGCCGCCATGACTCCTGAGCGCCAGGCCTCGTGCAGGCCTCGGTCTCCCCATCTATAAAACGGGGAGAGGGTACTGAGTCTGGCACCGAAGACACAGGCTGGCTCAGTGCCTCCCCGCTGCGGCGGCTCCCGCCATGTTTTGATAAGCTTGTTATCTGAATCGACACTGTTTCCTCACAGAAGAGCAAAAACAGGCCCCTGTGCTCACAGGCGGACTCTTCCCCGGGGCGGGGCTGGCCCACAGATCGTCACCCGTGCTTGGAGAAGTGTAAAATTCAGAGGAAAGCAGTGGGGACGTTCTGAAGAAGCTCTATCCAGCTGGGTTCACACCGGTAATCCCAGCACTTTGGGAGGCCGAGGCGGGAGGATCCCTTGAGCCCAGGAGTTCGAGATCTGCCTGGGCCACACAGCAAGACCCCCGTCTCTACAACAAAAAATTCAGCAAGGTGTGGTGGTGCACACCTGTAGTTCCTGCAGCTTGGGAGGCTGAGGTGGGAGGAACTTCTGAGCCCAGCAGGTCGAGGCTGCGGTGGCCGTGATGGTGCCACTGCACTCCAGTCTGGGCGACAGAGGGAGACCCCGACTCAAAAACAAGAAGCCCCATCCCAGGAGAGTGTCTCCACTTTTTTGCGTCTGTCTTTGGAAACCTCTCTGCCACGTGGTTTTAACGTGGGTGACGCCAGTTCTGCCAGCTCCAGGGCACCCAGAAGGGGCACACGGTCCTGAGGCTGCTGCCGTGGTCCCTCACCCCAAGGTGGGGAAGAAGCAGGGTCAGGAGCGCGGCAGGGGCTGGGCTTAGTCCTTCCAGGCCAAGGGAGGCAGAGCGCGCGTCCCCGGGGCTCCCGGGGGCACTTGCTACGGAGGGAGTTTTGGAAGACGACACTGCCGCGTCCGCAAGTAGCGTGACCAGCAGCACCCACTGCGACAGTCGCCTTAAGACGTGTCAAGGATGGGTGGTGGCTCACGCCTGTCATCCCAGCACTTGGGAGGCCGAGGCAGGAGGGT